GAGAGAAGAGTGAGTTACTCCCTCCGTCCCAAAATTATTTTCCACAGACAAAAAAAAAACACACAGATTAAGGAAGCATTAATTACCACTAACTTTATATAATAAAATAGACAGTTTTGTCCTTAATTTGCATTTAATTGAACATTAAATACTTAGCTGGTTAAGTAATAATGATAGGGTATTTTGGTAAAAATATTATTTATTTTTAGAAGTGGACTATTATTTTGGGACAAACCAAAAAGGAAATATGGACTATAATTTTGGGACGGATGGAGTATTAATTTATTACTTAGTTAATAAATTAATTAGAAATCAAAATAAATGATTTATTAATGTATTGTGGAAATAATATATTAGTTAGAAATAATAATGTTTAATTAATATTTAATCATAAATTAATTTGGAATTAATTTTGGGATTAAAGGAATAATTGAAACTGCAGGGACTAAAGGTGACAATGTTCAATAGTCGAGGAGGGAGCATTCTAGAACCTCCCTATGGTAAGAGGAATGAAATCTAGATGCTCCTAGGGTTTCCTTGGGCTCTAAGGGTGCCTTGGATGCCTTAGGGAGAAAGTTAAGGGATTAGGGTTTTCTTGGATACACCTGCCTAATCCAATACCTTCTCAACACCTATATAAACCCTCGTTAGGGTTAGATTTCGTCCATGCACTCCTCCTAAAGGCTTAGAGCCAAAATTATACTTCCTTTCTCTCTCTCTCTAAAGTATTCCTTAGTTGCTTGGTTGTTTGTGAACTATTAGAGGCACGACACTTGTGGCGCTTGCTAACGAAGGTCTTTCAAGCAAGGTTTTAGATTGTTATTACAATATAACAATCATGTTTGCATGTTCAACTAGTGAAAACCTAGATCCTTTATTTTAGGGCTGCATGAACACATAGGATTTGTAGTTATGCTCATAACCCACACAGCAGGAGCAGGCCGAAGCCTAGAGATGATTTCGGCCAGAATGAGCAAAGTGATGGACAACCCACCGGAGGGAGCCTCAGTTATAAGAGTTAAGTTTTCTGTTGAACTGTGATGCAATGTGATTCGTCAAGAGAAGGGAGCAAATCGTCATATGTTCATCGGACTAGCCGAGTTCATGTTTGGAACTCGACGAGTTGGCTCAACTTGACGAGTGCATTGCATAGACTCGACGAGTTGGCCAGTCAGATCCTTGATTTTTCGATTTTGATAATATTGGCTTGATTAGGATAATTACCTTAATTCGTTTTTCTACCACACACAAGCTCTCACATATAACAATGTACACACATAGTAAGATACTTCCTAGGAATTCGTAGGATTCTACCCCATACACAGTCTGAAGGTCTCTGCTGATGCCAGAAATTCATCCCACGGATGTAGGTCGTACATAATTAAAATAAAATAGACGTTCGAATAGATGTCACTACCATAAGGCCTTCATCAAACAAGAATAGGCATTAAGGCTGAACCAAAATTTTTGTAGGATATCTAGTCTTAATCATGTACCACCATAATGCAATCATCAAATAATTTTGCATTACGATCATAAACCTTAAAAGTACCTAACCATCAACACAAATACAAAACATAAACAAGCATCTCTCCTAAGCAAACATCCTAAAATGAATTCCAAAGTAGATCCTTAGCCTAATTTATAGCATGCAACTCATATTATAGCATACTAAGGCATAAGACTCATGTATGGGTATTTTGGGAATCACTTATTTGAGCTTTGCTTAATTGCATGCATCACACCCCTTTCTTTATAAAACCTTTTTTAGAAAAATGTTTTCTTGTAAAAAAATATTGTATTAAGCGTTAATTTGAGTTAAGATGCACCCACTGCTAGCTTGAATCCCTCAAACCAAGACTATGATACCAACTTGTGACATCCCAAATCATAGAGTAAAATTTTTGATTTTATAAGATAAAGCCATTCATTTTATTCCATTGAAAGATAATCAAAGTATAAAACGTAGTCTCAAAACATCATAGTGAAAACATAAAATAGATAGTGCAGAAATCTTCGATGGATGCAATGCAATCAAGCCTGAATCTTCCCCTTGCTACAAGAAGTACTTGAAACATTTAAACTGAAAATTGTAAGCACAAAGCTTAGTGGTCCCTCCCCCCCCCCCCCCCCAAGATACCACTTACAACAATATAAAGGTGTCTGACTTGAACAATAGACACATCCATATAATAGGCCATGTCTATATAATCGGCCCCACCTAAAGGGACCCAGTCCATATAATGGGCCCTGTCCAGCATGATTGGCCCCCGTCCAAATAATAGGCCTTGTGCAACATACAATAAACAAACATATAAGCATGAGTCACAAGACAACAAGCATACGACACCCCCGTGTACTACATAGTATAATGAGAAGATTCACCTCACAGTCAACGAAGATAACAACACAACTCGCAAGAAACGCATAGGCTGGTCCTACATACCACGTCAACATTAATAAAAAGGTCAACCTCATTCTACAACCCAAAACCCTCAAGTTGACTAAAAGTCAACCTGGTCAAAAAGCCAATGGTCAACGACCATTGTGTTGTGGTGAGACCTTGGTTGCACCGTGGTCTGGCACAATCAAAGTGATCACGATGAATCTACCCACCACGTCATGGTCAGTCCATGATCACATCGTGGTTTGCCTGGCAGATTCAAACTATTATTCAACTCTTAATTCATTAAGTCTGTTCCTAATACTTTCCAGAAAGCTTCACGGCACCCTAATGGACCATAAAATTCGTAACTTTATGGACATGTATGTCCAGTAAAAGTTCTTCACCAATCTAGGTCAAAATAGAGGAAAATGGGATCAAAAATCATGCATGGCACTAAATAGAGTTGCGAGTCCATGTTTGAAACACATAACACTCTTGAGACCTTAATGAGTAATAAAACTGCAAACTTTATTACCAACAACCTTTCAAAACTTCCTAACAAGAAGAAACTAGTTCAAGACCTAGATCTAATGGGAAAGAACCACAAAGTTGAAGAATTGGAGACTTACAGAGGTCCAGTGGATGCTCAAGGAGATTGAGGTGCACTTGCTAGATGATTCCTTGCTCAACAAGAACTTCCTTCTTCCTTCAAATGCCAAAAACCACCAAATGGAGCTTAAAATATGAAAATGGAGGCTAGGGTTTGATGCGATATCTCTTGGAAAGATTGGGGATGAGGGTGAGAGAAGTCATAGTCGTCACATTCCTTAAATAGGGTTCAAGGCTCGACACTTAGGGTTTTAAACCCTAGCCGCCATCGCGCCGTGGTGAGGGACAGACCATGTCGTGGTCATCACAAGGTTGAGTTTTTATAAGGTATACCAGAATAAAAATATTAATGTAAAAACTTGGAAAACAATATCTCACGAAGTAATTCTATTTTTGCAAGTGCATAATAACAAAGAATTCAACAAATTTGGAATGTTTAAATAAAAGAACCAATACTTGTTCAATTTCCTTGTTAAATTATCAAGAAATTTGGAAATATTTAAGACCAAGTTCTAAGGATTCAAATTCCACGAACATAAAGCAACCACCATAGAAATTTTGTTTTTAAAGTGACACATTCGAATTTTGAACTTTACCAATGCAACATGATCATTTTGTTATTCGTCCCATGATTGTCAAGATCGGGATCTTGATTGTAGGATCGTAAGATCCTACTATCCTACCAATAAAAACCCTATCGGATCGTAATAGGATCGTTTTGTATGTAAAATCGCAGGTAAGATCGTAGGATCAGGATCCAGATCGTAAGATCGGGATCCGATTCGATCCTACCAATCATTGAAATTTGCCAAATTTTAATCCGATTTTATTATCTTTTCCGATTTACGCATTTACCTGGTCTCCTTACCCAAAGGTCGATCGAAAATTGCCTCATTTTTGTACTGTTTTGTCAACCATAAATGACCAACAATCGTAGAATTCTTTTTCTTCTTTTATGTTTTACCCTCATCAATGATAAAATTTGAGATTTAACTTCAGATTGTTATTAATTTCTCCCTTCAATAGTTCAAGCTCAATAATAGATGTGAGCCTTTTTTCACTTTCTTTTATTTTACTGTTCAAGCCATTTTTTAGAGCTTGAAAAATTGTGGTTTCTAATTGAGTTATAAAAGTTAAAATTGTCACTGATTTCTTCTTTATAGTTAATACAAATAACATGTTAAAGATTTCAAACAAATAACATAAAGGTTGTGAGTTCCTACCGTTGTATGATAAGTGATCAGTCTTAATACTCTTTTAAGCTATTTAATCATGTCATTAACTACTAAATGATCGTTACATTTTTTGAGTTATTTAAAGGTTAAATAGATAGATTTTTAGGCTCGACTATGGACGTGTTCGGCACGGAGCGTTTGGGAGCGTTTGAGAGCTTCTAGCTTCCAGCGTTTGACAAAACGCTCCGTTTTGAACAGAAAGACTCGTTCGACACTACAAGCTTCTAGCGTTTAGTTTTAAACAAACGTCCAATCCAAATGCTACTTCATGTAGCGTTTAACAAAATGCTACAAGCTACAAGCTACCCGCTACAAGTTACCCGCTACCAGTTAGTTTTGCCGAACACGCCCTATATAATAAAACCAAAGAGGGGTGATCGGATTGTGTTAAGATCTTAAGATTCTAGTCGGTATCCTAGATCCCACTAGAGAATATAGATATTGCTTCATATAGATCTTAGTGAGATCAAGATCGTTTTTAAATTATAAGATCTTAAAATCATAAAATCTTAACAACCATTATTTTATGTCAATCAATAACCTTTTTATGCCAATTTTTTTTTGGGATTTTAAGATCTCGATTCCGATCTTATAAAATTTACAAGGATTAAAGGTATGATCCCAATCTTACAACTTTTGTTCGGTTTTTAAAAAATTACTAATTGTTTCAATAAAATTAATCATTGTTGTTTAAGTCATTCAAATCAAAATCCAAAATAATACGATTAGTCCAAGGACAAGGGAAATAACATGATGCATCAACCAATCCCATGAAACACGGCATTCATTTACTTGTCAAGACCTCGAAATCAACCCAATCACTGTGCTTCGAGCTGCCCTTCACTGGATCTTCCCTCTTCTCTGCTGATCCAAACATTTTTCAATCAACAAAGGTACGCACTGAATCAATTTCGTATCTTTCACTATCAATTCCTTTAGATCCGATCGTCATTTCGATCCCCAACATTTTGCCCTAGTTCTACCACCCAATTCCCTTCAGTTTCATCAGATCAAACCGATTTTATCCAACTCCTAATGTCAATCTGAGTTGTTCTTTTGATTACAAGCTTTTGTAACAAAGTTCCATTGAAATTGGAATCGTTTTAGAAGATATCAGACACACATTGGCTGTACCGAAGCAACATTATGCTACAAGCAGTCTTGTGATTGGGTACGCTTTATGTTCAAGCTTATTAGCTGTGATTAACAAATTTGCAATCACCAAGTTCAATTACCCAGGGCTATTGACTGCTTTGCAGTATCTTGTTTCAGCTTTAGGAGTTTGGGTTTTGGGGAAATTAGGGTTCTTGAGCCACGATCCGTTCGTGTGGGAAACCGCTAAGAAATTCCTACCCGCTGCTATCGTTTTCTATCTCGCAATCTTCACAAACACGAATTTATTGCGTCATGCCAATGTAGACACGTTTATCGTCTTCAGATCCTTAACACCCCTTTTGGTAGCAATCGCCGACACCACTTTTAGGAAGCAACCAATTCCATCAAAACTTACATTTCTATCACTTTTAATCATCTTGGGTGGTGCTGTTGGCTATGTCGCTACAGATTCAGGATTCACATTGACTGCATATTCATGGGCATTCGCTTACTTGATCACAATCACAACCGAAATGGTTTACATCAAACACATGGTTACAAATCTTGGATTGAACACATGGGGGTTTGTTTACTACAACAACCTGTTATCTCTCATGATGGCTCCATTCTTCTGGATCATGACTGGTGAATACTCTGATGTGTTTGCTGCTGTTGGATCAAACCATGGGAATTTGTTTGAAATCATAGCATTTACAGCAGTCTCATTATCTTGTGTTTTTGGACTTCTAATCAGTTTCTTTGGATTTGCATGTCGAAAAGCCATATCTGCAACTGCATTCACTGTAACTGGTGTTGTAAACAAGTTTCTTACAGTGGCAATAAATGTTTTGATTTGGGATAAACACGCAAGTCCTTTTGGGTGATTCTGTTTGCTTGTGACAATTGCTGGAGGTATTTTGTATCAGCAATCTGTAACTGGAGTTAATAGTCCATCTATACAGCGGGACCCAGTAGCATCTAAGTTAATGGATGATAAAGATGATGGTGATTACTCAAATGAAGATGAAGAAAAGGGTATTTCGGGAAAAATCTCGGGTGTATAAGTGTTTTTCAATATCTCAGGTTTGGTCAACTGAAACTTTATACACATGTTATCAATGATTCGGTTTAGTTTTATGTATTAAAATTTCAACTATATTATTTGCTTTTGGATTTTGATAGTTGATGTTATCTTGAATAGGTCTTTTTTTTTCTCACACTATGAATTGTGTATTCGGGTATCTTTGCTTTATTAAAGTAGTGAACAATGAAGATCATTTATTTTTGTCAACAGGGTTTAAATGATAAACATGTAAATTTTATCATATATATCTGCATATTTTGGTGTTCTGTTTTGTTTTCTTGATGTGGTTTAGTTATGATTTGTTATGTTATATGAGGAAAATACGATCCATGGAGATCACTTTCTTCTCTCAAGAACAACTTTTGTATTGTGGTAACAAGACGGGTTTTTGTAAAGAATTTTGTACCATTGGAACAAAAGACTATTTTGGTAATTTATTGATTTACTCTAACCACTTGGTAGACACCAACTTTTTCACT